AGAAGAAAGCGCAAAAGCTGGGTTGCAGCTAAACGTCAAAAAAACCAAGATTATGGCAACAAGAATGATTGACAACTGGAAAATAGAGGGAGAAACCGTGGAGGCCGTGACAGACTTTGTATTTCTAGGTGCAAAGATGACTGCAGATGCAGACTGTGGCCAGGAAATCAGAAGACGCTTACTTCTTGGGAGGAGAGCAATGTCCAGTCTCGATAAAATAGTAAAGAGTAGAGACATCAGACTGGCAACAAAGATCCGCCTAGTCAAAGCCATGGTATTCCCTGTAGTCACCTACGGATGTGAGAGCTGGACCTTAGGGAAGGCTGAGCGAAGGAAGATCGATGCTTTTGAACTGTGGTGTTGGAGGAAAGTGCTGAGAGTGCCTTGGACTGCGAGAAGATCCAACCAGTCCATCCTCCAGGAAATAAAGCCCGACTGCTCACTGGAGGGAAAGATACTAGAGACAAAGTTGAAGTACTTTGGCCACATCATGAGGAGACAGGAAAGCCTAGAGAAGACAATTAGGCTGGGGAAAGTGGAAGGCAAAAGGAAGAGGGGCCGACCAAGGGCAAGATGGATGGATGGCATCCTTGAAGTGACTGGACTGACCTTGAGGGAGCTGGGGGTGGTAACGGCCGACAGGGAGCTCTGGCGTGGGCTGGTCCATGCGGTCACGAAGAGTCGGAGACGACTGAACGAATGAACAACAAACTAGCTTATAGGAAAATGCATATATAACAGCAGTTGGGATGAAAACTTCTCATACCGATGGCTGCGTCTTTTATCAACTAAAGGCCCACAGACAACATTTCAATGTAAATTCCAATATGTACAACCCTCAACACCACATGGCACTGAAGGATATAGAATCCCTTTTTTAAGCCAAAAGGAGGAAACAAGCATAGTTTCACATGAACAACTTTATTGAACCTACATATTTGACTTGTGTGAATGGGGATGAAAGAACCTTCATGCTCTTACTCAATTGATGGATGCCCAGTGAGGAAGCCATCAACCATAACTCACACATGTGTCCCATATAGATATCACCCATGAATCCCTTAATTAATACTGCCAAGACTGAGGTTGTCCAGTTAACCCTTGATATCTTGCCTCAGAAGAAATAACACTGACTGCTCCCTTTGTCCTGAATGACCGCAGCAATTTCCACCCCTTTCTCATTTGATTATAGGAAGGGACCAGCCCTCGTTGGCTATATTCACTTTCTTCATAAAACCTTTATAACTCTCTTATGGTCAGTGGTTATGTGAAATATGTAACCCACTGTTGAGAAATGACCCATCTTTTTGAAAGTCTCTTGCTATCATATTGCTGTATCCATCCAACCTCTTCCAAATGGTGGAGAATGTCTCTCTTTGCAAGACATCAGCTGGCAATGGAGAACACCATGTGGGAACAGTCCTCATACAGGCTTGTTGCCAGGCTTGCTATCACATCTTGTGAGATCTAGGCTGAAATCTTACAAATAGTGATGCAATTTCTCCCTTCCTGAACTGGTTTCCAAAGAATCCTATTTTTAGACATGTATACACAAAAACACACCTGTTTTAGCTGCATATGGAACAGAAAAAGGAAAGGGAAAAGAAGATCTTTGAAGGAATGAAATGGTGGATTTGATTAATTTGGTTTCATTTTCTTTATCTTATGTGGCATAAAAAGGTATTTGAAAGTAAAAGTTCCTAATTGAGGGATACTAAAATAATTGGGAAGCTACGTAGAAAGAAAAAACCATATGCACTTCAGTACGGATATGTATTGGGGATTAAGAAAGTATGTAATATGTGGATATGGAATAAAACAATTCTTCCTTAGGTTGATAATACGCTCTCCAACGTTGACTGAATTTACACACTATTTGCTTGCAATACTTTCAGTTGCATGGTGGCAGAACCTTGGTTCCACTCAAGAATTTATTTTGTTTTAATGTTGCTTACCACTTTAACTTAGGTATCCCGATGGTAGAGAAGCATAAGGGTTTTGAATCTTTTTAATCATCCAACTGATCAAGTTTTAGTGGTTTGACCTTGCTCTTAAGCAGCCTCCTGCTTTCTTGCTGTGCAGAGGGAAAAGGATGAATCTAATGAAACACCAAACAGAAAGGCTGTTGCCTGATTTTCATAGGTCCTCACTGCGCTTCCTTTGATTAAGAGAGAACATTTCCTGTGAGCTGGCTCAAGGAACATGAATTAGAGTGGCATTATTAAGGGGAAAAGAAAATCACATTGTTTGCCTGATGCTAGACATTTCCTGTGAACAATGTTTCTGGGTTTGCCACTTAGCACTGCCTCATCACAAGCTGCTTTCTGCACAGACATGCTTTGCAACAAATCACATTTTAAGTTATGCAAAATGATTTACAGAATGTATTGAGAAAATTCAACATTTTGTTCCTGCTTCGGATGTTGTTAAAGGACAAGAAAGAGAAAAGTGCAGTCCTTCAGCTGCATATGGTGCCCTTGGCTCATTATTCTGGGTCCAAGGGCTCCCAGAAGCCATGATACTTTCCCCATTAAGGGTAGGGGTGTTTTTGAACCCCACATGGATAATAGTACTTCCCCAAGCTTCTGGGAGGCCAAGAGTTACAATGCCATGCTAAGGAGGAAACATGGCTGTGCAGAAAAATCAAGCAAGATCCAAAAGTAACAAAATCATTGGGGGGGGGGTTATAACCCCAAAACATAAAACATATTATACTTCCAACAGACCTCACAACCTCTGAGGATGCTTGCCATAGATGCAGGTGAAACGTCAGGAGAAATGCCTCTAGAACATGGCTCTATAGCCCGAAAAAACCCACAAGAACCTAGTGATTCCAGCCATGAAAGCCTTCGACAATACATATTATAAAAGCTTTCTAATCTGGCTTCTTTAACAGGCAACTATGTTAAAAACCAAACAGGAGGAAAAATAGGATGATATTAGATCACAGACCTACATTCTGCCATAGGTCTCTACACTGGCCAAAAAACTCTAGACATGGCATAAATCCACCACTATTTGTCTCCATTATGCATAGCAACTTCCAGTAAATGTCTTGAGTTTTTGGCTCTTAATCCAAATTTGTCCTGCTTTAAGCAAAGTCTGGGGAATGATCCAAAGTTTGCAAGAAACTGGAGTATTCAGAGGCTTCATGGCAATCTGGACAGCTGGATTGGGTCTTTTTCAGCCCAATCCACTCTCCAGTTGGATACCATGCCATCACCTTTCTCTTACTTATCAACACAGGTAAAGGGGATGACTCAACTCTGTAATACGAGGTTTGTGGAACCTGGCTACAGAGCTCAATATAAGCGTCTAACCATTACAGTCATGTCTGTTGATGTCAGAATAGAGATTCCACACAATTATCAAGACAGAAGGAAGATTGACCCACCTTATTCTTGCTGGTCACACAGGCATTCTCTTCTGACATCAGCAGAAGTGATAGGGGAGCAACTGTCATTTGGAGAAAACTCCATAGCTGCAAGGAGCAATGGAAGCAGCATAGAGGAGCCCGGCAGGACTAATGCAATTCTGACTTGTTTGGTCACTGTTCCCAGCTTCAGCAAGTATGGGACAGATTTATACTAAAGTAACCTGTACATGTAGACACAGCCTAAGGGTCCTTCCACACAATAATATAGCTCAGAATATAAAGGCAGAAAATCCCACAATAACTGCTTTGAACTGGGTTATATGAGTGCCATGGATTCCAGTTCAAAGCAAAGACTGTGGGATTTTATTCAGCTGTGTGGAAGGGACCTAAGATATTGTCAGTTAAAATGGTATTGTAGGTTTCAAGCTGCTCACAGAACAGGGAATCTGGATCCCAAGAGAAGTTTCTTTTCTGTTGCAAAGGGGAGGTGAAATTTTATTATCTTTCTTTTAATGTTCTTTGTCCCTTGCCCTCACTTGGCCAATAACTCCACCAAAATCCCTCAAAGCCACCCTGGCAACATCTGAGACAGAATGTATGCCTATGACTCTAATATCAGTCACCATTTTCTCCTGTATGAGTTTTACCATTTTTGCCTGATGGAGAAGCCAGTGAAGCTTCAAAAGCTCATGTAATATATTTTATGGTTTGAAGTAGAACAAAACATGGTATTGGCACCTGTGGGTTTTTTGTACCTCGCTGTAATGTTAAACACCCTTACATGGGAATAAATTCATTATATTTTGCATTGAATAGAGGACAGAATTGCTAGTGTAGCTCAGTGGGAGTCTGATGCTAAGTCCCATCTATCTCAATTGATCTTTATCTTTAGTGAAAAGATACACAGCCATTCATCTTGAGAGTCTGAGTGGGGAAACAGGAAGCCTTCCACTCATGTCAACCACAGGGATAATTAATAAAGTGTGCCATATAACTGTATGAGTTTTGCCTATTTCTTGTGAACATTTTCACAGAAATTATCATTTTCTCTTTTACCTCCTCTTTGTGCCATTAACACTGTCCAGATTTACAGGACTGTTGCAAACATTAATGAAGAAATCTGGATAGAATTATTTGAACACAAATGTAGTATATAAATTGTTATCATTAGTAGCAATAGCTGTTTCACCAGATTCTCTGTTTCAAAGAATTTGAGAACTATGTATTACTATTGACCTTCCTTTTATATATCAATTTTTAAAGTAATGATAACTCTACAAATTATTTGAAAATGTATGCCAAGAGAATGAGAATTATGTTTAGAGAGGTGAGATAGACTAACAGACAGATCGAGCCCTTGTTGGTTTTTTATCACCTCCTGCCCAGTGTTTTTATGGTTTTCTTGTTCTTTTTCCATTTCACAAAAAACTACACCTCAAAAACATGCCAATTACTTGATCACCAAATTGCTTCCAATTATGCTAATGAGGTTTGAGATAAGATGAGGTGTTTGATTCATTCCCATTCCTCCTTGATTTGGCAACACTCTAATTAGTTTATCAGAGAAGTGTTTACAAAATGCCTGATGTGGTTGTAAACTTGTCCTCTTTCTAAATTTATGCAGGCAAGACCTGGTAATATGTGCAGCTGAAGTGACTGTTCTAGAAATAACGACAAAAAGAAGCATGGCCAGCAACCATTGTTCATCTTTGATCTGGCAAGAAACAGGAGCAATATTTATAGGTGGTCTGCCTCATCGTTTTGCAATGAAACAGGTATTGTATTTCACTTCATTTCACATTTTATGCCAAGTTCATTGCCAAGGCTTCCTGACTGAAATCAGCAGAACTGGTTTGCCTTTAAGAATTTCATCATGGTTGATCCATACTTGTTACATATTATGATGGAAACTGAACTTTGGTCAGCCTATCAGAAGGACCATTTATTCCTATATGAGCCTTCCTATGCTCTGTGGTCTTTAAAGGATGTCCTTCTCTCAGCTCTACCACCTTTCCAGGAATCTTTAGTAGGAAGAAGGCACTCTCGGGATGCATGTACACTATAGAATTAATGCAGTTTGACATAACTTTAAGATAAATGGCTCATTCCTATTTATTTATTTATTTATTTATTTATTTATTTATTTATTTATTTATTGTATCTGGAGCAAACCAAGGGTTCTTCCTACTAAATATTCCTGGAAAGATGGAGAGCCTGAGAGGACCTCCTTTAAAGACTGTGTCAAACTGCATTAATTGTACAGGTGTAGATGCACCCATTGGTTTCAAACCATTGATATTTTGACCAGAGGTTGCATTGCATACCTTTACTATAACAGAACTATGTTACTGACATGACATACAGGGCATATTGGAGAACTCTGATGATCTGCAACAAGGTCTTGCATGTTGCCCTATTGAGCAACAGAGGCTTTGATGGCACAATGGGTTACACTGAGAAGTTAGGGCATTTTTCCAGGTGAATGCAAGGTACCCATGATTTTCTCTGACCACATCCATCCTAATAGCATAGCTAAGACAGCACCCTCTTGCATTACATAATGCCACAAGGCTATGGCCCTATGATTTGTATCCTATACTCTAAAAACAAAGTGACTCTTTCTGTTCCAAAGGTTTTCATTTCAGTGGAGGTCCTTCCCTACCCCAGCAGAAGATGGAAGTACATCTTAATTATTTTCTTCTTCACTCATCCAGCTGCCACAGATGATGATGTAGAGGTTCTGAGGATTCCCAACCTAATTTAGAATATATGTCCAGGTGCCACAAAAGAAAGGAAAACTGGCTCCAGTTCTGTTCCAGGAACATCTTTTTTTTTTAGAGTTCTGCCCAACTAAAACCCCCAGTATATAAATAGTATAGTAAGAGGATTTCCTTGGAGATGGTACATTGCTAATATTAAAAATCTTATTTGGATTATATAGGGATGCTTTCCAGAAATATTATATACACAGCAATCTGGAAGCCAGTATTTTCAATGCAAATTAAACCAAATGGAATTTATGGTGGCATTGTTTGTCTAAGTGTCAAACATGTTTTCCAGACACATTTGCACTTTCAAAAAAGGGTTTTCTTTACACGTATTAGCAATCAGATTTCCAAATTAACTCCAGTTCCAGTCACCACTCATAAAACTATAGACACTTCCTCAAAGCCATATAACCCAGAATATCAAGGCAGATAAGCCACAATATCTGCTTGGAACTGGGTTGTCTGCCTCCACACTGCCCTATATTCCAGTTCAATGTGGATTTTATACAGCTGTATGTTAAAGGCAAGGCATACACTAAAGACATGGCATGACAAACATCCTGTACTCATTAAAGAAGATATCTTCTTTAGACATGCAAAATACATGATCAATATACATTTCACTTAAGAAACCAAGGTTGTTGTGCTCTTTTATAGCTGACAAAGGCCCCTTCTACACTGATATGTAATATAAGTTGTAACTGCATTACATGGCAGTGTAGAAGGGGCCAAAAATATTTGTTTGAAAGCTTTGGGGTGAGAAAATTATCCCTCAGGCTGAATCTACACCGCCCTATATCCCAAGATCTGATCCCAGATTATTTGCTTTGAACTGGGGTCCCTGCCACACAGTTGAATACAGCCCCACATTATCTACTTTGGACTGAAATATATTGCAGTGTGGCTCAGATAACCCAGTTGAAACTTGCAGTTTCTCAAGTCGCTCCTGACACAACCTCCCCCCCACCCCAGTTCAAATCAGATATTATGGGATTTTCTGCCTGGATATTCTGTCTTATATGACTGTGTGGAAGTGCCTGGGTTATATGAGTCTAACTAACAGATAATCTGGGATAAGCAAATAATCTGGGATCGGATCCTGGGATATGGGGCAGTTTAGATCCAGCCTCAGAATGTGATTGACTGTGATCCCAGGACTTCTAAACTGGCTAAACAAAAAAATTGGAAAACATTACAGATATTTGTATGTAAAAATAATATCCCAGTAAAGGTCTCCTAAAATTTCAATTTCTTCTAAAAAAAATGAATAATTCATTTCACAGTTTTTGTGACATTTTCATTTTTCTATAAATGAAAATGTCTACAAAGAATGATGAGTAAAGATTCCATATTTTGAGATGAAATATTCTCAAGACATGAATATGGTACAACTGAAGTTATATGTGAACTTCTGAGGTATTTTGGTGTTTAGAGAAATGTGGGTAACTCTGGCTGTTTTAAAGAAAATTATTGATGTGTCTTCTTTCTCATATTTTACCTGATCTCTTGCTTTCACTTGGATTATTTGGCTTACAAGCTCATTTCGTTCTAAGAGCAAATTTAGCTTGTGGGAGCCAACAAGACTGCAGGGAAGGAAGGAAGGAAGGAAGGAAGGAAGGAAGGAAGGAAGGAAGGAAGGAAGGAAGGAAGGAAGGAAGGAAGGAAGACAGAAAAATAGGGAGGCAGGCAGGAAGGTCAACGAGAAATAAGAGCTTACTTGAGGAACCCCACTGTTTGCAAAAGTACAAAAATACCGTTAAGGAAGCCGTTTTGAAAAAGGGAGAATAAAGGAATGATATTTTAAGTTTTGTATGTATTTTTTGTTGTGCATTATGAATGTATAACACTATTTGTATTTTATTTATAACCTTTCTGTTTGCGTACTGAGATATTAAAGTATCTGTCATTTCCTTCCCTTGTTGTTTACATGAGCGGGGCAACATTTGTAGAGGGCAGTCTTTTCAAGACACATTGGTTCTTGTTGCAATGTGGAACCCAACTGATTCATAACAAGTATAATCTTCTTCTCAAACATGACCCCTTAATGTGTTGGTTGCCAGGAGCAGTCAACCATAATAATACAGCAGAAGTAATGAAAGGCAATAAAAAAATATTTCAGATGTTTTTGTTGCTATTGGCCATCAAATCAGCTTCAACATATGCAGCCCTACGAATGAGAGACCTCCAATAGATTTGGCCATCAACCATCCTGCTCAGGTCTTGCAAACTCAGAGCTGTGTCTTCCTTTATTGAGTCAACTGATATGTAATGTGGTCTTCCTCTTTCTTAGTGCCCCCCACTTTACCAAGAATCATCATCTTTTCCAAGGAGTCATGTCATCTCATGATGTATCTAAAATGCAATATCCTGGCTTAAATGTATAATGATATATCTCTAGATTTGATGTTGTTAGCTTCCATAGCTGCTTTCCCAAGGTTTAGCCTTTTTCTGATTACTTCTTTGTAGCCTTATCTATTGAATCAAGGCATATTTTTTTTCCTAATATTAAAATTTTCCCAAATCCAAGTCTTTACAATTTTCTGCTAGGACTATAGTATCATCTGCTCATCTTAAAACACTGCATTCCTTCTAATTTTCAAGCTTTCATCTGAGTCAAATTCCTCTTTCTTTAAAAAATAAAATCATAGAAACATTGGAATTAGAAGAGGCCACAAGAGCCACCTAGTCCAACACCCTGCCATTCAGGGATAAACAATCAGAGTATAGATGATCATCCAGTCTCTGTTTAAACACCTCCAAAGAAGCTTTTATGAGGCATATTATATCTGTGTCAAACATTTCTTAATATTAGTAAGTTTTTCTTAATGTTTAGTGGGGCGTTTTTCTTACAATTTGAATCCATTGCTCTGTATTCTTGTCTCCACAGCATCAGAAACAAGCTTGTCCCATTCTTTCAAATATTTAAACATTGCTATCATATCCCCACTTAGTTCCCTCTTCTTCAAGCTAAGCATACCCAGCTCCCTAAGCTTCTTCTCGTAGGTCTTGGCTTTCAAACCTTTGAGTATTTTGGTTGCCCTTCTCCTGACACATTCCAGGTTCTCAATATCCTTCTTGATTTGTGGTGCCCAGAACTGGACACAAGAGAGGTTGGACCAAAGCAGATTAGAGTGGGACTACAACTTTCCTCGATCTAGACATTATACTCCTGTTGATGCAATTTAGAACCCCAGTTTGATTTTTAGCTTGCCACATCCCACTATTGACTCATGTTCAGCTTGTGGTTTACTAAGAGTAAAATGTTGAAAACTTAGGACAAGTGTCATGATCTGCATCCTTCTGGATCCTCATTCCTACAACTGTATAAATATGCTTGATAACAGATACCTTAAGACCACTAAGTATTTCATCTGAATAAGTAGGTTTATATCATGTGAAAATAAAAAAACTACTTAGTGTTAAAGATGCTGTCACATTTCTTCTTGTCATTCCCGTCCTTACTGTCTTCCATTCTTAAAAAATATCACAGTCTATGATGAATGAGGCTGGAGTTCTCAACAGTCATAGTGGTCACATTTTCTGTGAACTGGAAGATCTCTGAATGCCTCACCTGAACAAAGGATAATCCTCTGAAGTTACTCCCTAACTGAAAGACTGATATATCTGCTTTAGCATTCAACACTCACAGGAAGGGACTTCAAACTGCTATCTAAAGTTAGTTTCTGGAAATACCCCCTGAGCAGCTATGTGGGTCCCATGACTGTAGTCTTCCCTACTACTTTGAAGTATATTCATTCTCAATTTGAGATATAATAATAATTTCTACATTTTCAGCCAATCATAAAATCGGTATCTGCACATTTTAAGTACACCAGAGTCCTCTTTTGCCCTCCTCTTTGTCATTAACATTTCCTCTTTAGGGCAATTCCTAAGTCATCTTCCTAGCAAACATCATCATTACCACTGGCATTATATGTCTCTCATTTCATCTTATTTCCTCTCTTTGCACCAGAAATAAGTAGTGCAACACCTGAATGTTCTTTTTC